AAATCTCTGTCAACCTAGAATTCTATACTTAGCAAAAATATCTTTCAAAGAATGAAGATGAAATAAGACTTTTTTAGACATGCCAAGGCTAAAAGAATTCACCAGTGACCTACATTATAAGAAATTTTAAAGAAAATCTTACAGGCAGAAGAAAAATTATAGCAGATGAAAATATGGCTCTAAACAGAAGAATGAAGAGTGCTAGAAATAGTAACTATGTGGATAAATGTAAAAACATTTTTTCTTACTATTTAAATCTCCTTGAAATATAATTAAACAAATAAACAAAAACAATGTTGTGTGGGGTTTAAAACATATATAGAAGTAAAGCATAATGGGGTGCCTGGGTGGCTCAGTCAGTTAGGTGTCTGCCTTCGGCTCAGGTCATGATCGTAGGGTCTTGGGATCTAGCCCCACATCAGACTCCCTGCTTACTGGGAAGCCTGCTTCGCCTTCTCCTCCCTCCTTGTGCTCTCTCTTGCTATCTCTGTGTGTCTCTCTCAAACATATAAATAAAATCTTAAAAAAAAAAAGAAATAAAAAAAGTACAGCATAATGTATAAACTTGTCAAATCACTAAGTTGTACACCTGAAACTAATAAAACATTGTGTATCAACTGTACTAAAAAAAAAAAAGTAAAAGTAAAATGTGTGACAAAAACCGCAAAGACAGTGGTGAAGAAATGAAGAGTCTTATAAAGTTCTCACTTTATATGGAAGTGCTATAATATTGCTTGAAGTTAAACTGTGATAAATCAAAGGTGTATACTATAAGCTCTAAGAAATCATGAAAATAACAAAGAGCCAAAGAGCTATAGCTAATAAGTCAACGAATGATGAAAATGGAACCATGGAAAATATTAAATTGCTCCAAAGCAATAGGAAAAAAAGAACAAAGACCAGATGGGACACACAGAGAACAAGATAATAGTCTTAAACCTAATTGTATCAATAATCACATTAAGTGTAAATGGTCTAAACACCTTGTTATAGGTTGAATTGTGTCTTCCTGGAAGAGATATGTTAGAGTCCTAACCCCCAGTTCCTTAGAGTGTGACCTTTCTTGTAGATAGGGTCTCTGTAGGGACAGTCAAATTAAAATAAGGTTGTTAGGGTGGACCCTAATCCAATATGATTGGTGTTTTTATAAAAAGGGGAAATTTGGGTGCAGAGATAGATATGCATAGAGAGAAGACACCATGAAGTCATAAGGAGAAGATAGCCATCTACTAATGGAGGAGAGAGGCCTGGGTCAGATCTCATCCTCACAGCCTTTAGAAAGAAGATACCTTGCCCAACACTGTGATTTTTGGACCTCTAGCCTCCAGAATTGTGAGATGGTAGATTTCTGTTGTGTAAGCCTACTTTGTGGTACTTTGTTACAGCAGCCCTAGAAAATTAATACATTTATTAAGTGGAAGAGGTTGTTAGATTGGATAAAAAGTGAGACCCAACTTTATGCTCTCTGCAAGAAACACACTTTAAAAATAAAGATACGAGTAGACAAAGTAAAACTATAGAAAAAGATATGCCATGCTAACACTAATCAAAAGAAAGCTGGGGTGGTTACATTAGTATCTGACAATGTAGATGTCAGAACAGAAATAAAGAGGGTCAATTTATAATGATAAAGGGGTCAGTTCATCAGGAGGTCATAACAATCATAAACTTTCATGTACCTAATAGCAGACCTTCAAAATACATAATGCAGAAACTGATAGAACTACAAGGAGAAATAGCTAAGCCACAATCAAGTCAGAGATTTCAATGACACTCTCTCAATAATGAATAAAACAAGTAGACAGAAAAATTGCCAGGATATAGAAGTCCTGAAAAACACTATTAACCATCTTGACCTAATCGACATTTATAGAACATTAAAATTAACAATAGCAGTATACATCTTCTTTTCAAGTTCACATAGAACATTTACTAAGATAGACCAGTTATTGGGCCATAAAAGAAGTCTCAATACATTGAAAAGAATTCTAGTTATAAAATATATATTATCTGATCATAATGGAATTAAATGAGATATCAGTAACAGAGAGATCTCTGGAAACTTCCCAGATCTTTGGCAATTACACAACATACTTCTAAAATTCATGGATCAAAGAAGAATCCAAAAGATAAATTAGAAAGTGTTTTGAACTAAATTAAAATGAAGATACAACATTTAAAGTTTGTGACACGACACTAATTGGTACAATGGGAAAATTAGGGCACTAAATGCCTATATTAGAAAAGAAGAAAGGTCTCAATCAACGATTCCAGCTTACTAATCAGGAAACAATAAAAAAAGAGCAAAGTAAACTCAAAATAAGCAGAAGAAAGGAAACAAGAATGAAATTAATGGACTATAAACAAAAAACCATAGAGAACATTAACAAGACAAAAACTGCTTTTTTTTTGAGAAAATCAATAAAACTGATAAGCTTCACCATACTGATCAGGGAAAAAAGAGAAGATACAATTACCAATATAAAAAATGAGAGACAGATCCTACAGATATTAAGGGATAATAAAGGACTATTCTGAACAAATTTTATTCTAATAAATTTGACAACTTAGATGAAATGGACACATTCCTTGAAAGATACAAACTACTAAAGCTCACTCAAAAAGAGATAGATAACCTAAAGAGTCCTATTAAAGACACTGAATTTGGAGTTATAAATCTTCCCACAAAGAAAACTTCTGCCCCAAATGCCTTTACTGATGAATCATACGAAACATTTAAGGAAAAACTTACATCAGTTTTACCCAAACTCTTGTGGACAATTGAAGAAAAGGGGATACTTCATAAATTATTTTATGAGGCTAATGTTACCTATTGATAAATGGTAAATGATAAAAAAAACAAAGACATTATAAGAAAAGAAAGCTACAGACATAATATCATCATAGGAATAGTTGTAAAAACTCTTAACAAACTCATAGCACATTGTACACAACAATATATAGACAGAATAATATATCATGGCCAGGAATATACTATATTTATCTCAGAAATGCAAAGTTTGTTTAAAATTTGAAAATTAACATACATAATTCCCCATGTTAACAAACTAAAACACACACGCACGCGTGCACACCAAAAACTAAGCCATATTGTCAAGAGCATTTGCCAAATTCAATATCCCTTTATGATAAACTCTCTTAGTTAAGGAGGAACAGAAGGAAACTTCCTCAACCTGATAAAGGAGTCTCTACAAAATGTCTCTGTTCTCATTTGCCTTGGAGTCAAGTACACAAAAAGTGATGGGTATTATGGAAGTAGCACAAGCTGCTGGGTCAGAGCACTTAAGTCTGAACCACAGCCTTCCCACCTCTCTGATCACACACACGTTAAAGAGCCCCTCTGAGCCTGCATGCTCTCATTTGTAACACAGAAATAATGGACAAAGAAGTTATGCTTTGTGACTGCACACATTAAAATTAGTACCTTCTCCGTTTTCTTCACCTGGTTCTGACAAAGGGGAGATTGGCTCAAGATGACAGGTTTCAGCATGCTTATTAGCCACAAATGTTTACTCCAGGTCTGCTCTGGGTAAGGCATCAGTAGGCTTGCTCTGGTCCTTGATTCCTTTTTGGAAGGACCTGGTGGAGTGGAGCAGAGTGGGGAAGAGGCTAGGAGGCAATCAGAAGATGAGGGGCACCTGGGTGGCTCAGTCGGTTGAGCCCCGGACTCTTGGTTTCAGCTCAGGTAATGATCTCAGGATCCTGGGATCAAACCCCTCGAGTGGGGCTCTGTGCTCAGCATGGAGTCTGCTGTCCCTCTCTCTCCCCCTCTGCTGCTCTAGTTGTTCAGCAAATAAAAATGTTTCCCTTATTACACTAAAACTCTCTTCTTAGGTGTGTGGGTGGGACAGACAACACTTGGTGAATGCTGTCAGCCTCTGTTTGTTTTACAGGTGTAGAAACTGGGATGACTAGAATACAGTCTTACACTCACACTTGACAGATTTTTGGAGCTATAAAACAGTTATACTCACTCTTGTCTCAATATTCCCATCCTTGAAATGGGGATGGTAATAGTTATAAGAATTACATTACTGTATTTTTTAAAAAGATTTTATTTATTTATTTTAGAGAGAGAGTGAGCAGGGGAAGGTGCAGAGGGGCAGGGAATGAGAATCTGAAGCAGACCCACCCTCAGCACAGAGCCCCACACAGGGCTCAATCCCACAACCCTGAGATCATGACCTGAGCTGAAACCAAGAGTCAGGCTCGACTGAATGAACCACCCAGGTGCCCCAGTTACTGTATATTTTGATGTGACTTGAAGACTCTGCAAAAGCTAAGGTTATCACTCATTTGCATGTCTAAATGGGACTGTTCATCAATTTTCGCCCACCTGCCTTTGGTGTCCCCCAGACCTGCACCTGCCGCCTGTCCCCCCACCCCTGCACCTGCACAAAGGTCATGCCTGCTCACCTCCTCTGCAGAGACATGCACACCAGGCCTTCCTACGGTCCGGGGCGCTTCCTCCAGACAAGGACAAAGCAGGGCATGAGGTCGGGACACCCTGGGTTTCGGACCCGGAGTACCCGGACCCTGAACATGAGCGAGGTTTGGAGAAGCCGCTATTCAAACCTTGGCTGTGGGGCTTCTCTGGCCAGTTGGAGGGTGTTGTCTTGTACCGTTCACCAGGCAGTGCTCCACGCCCTTCCTTGCGCTGTTGTCCGTCCCTGCCCACCCTCTGACCCCTATGCAGGAGGCGAGTTTCTATAACTTACTAACATTTCTCTTTCCAGTTTAGCCTCCGAGTGGTAATCAAAGATTTTGCCTGAGGAGGGCAGCCAGCTCCCAGCCTGCCTCCAGCCAGGCTTTGCTGGCGTGGCTCTGTGAGAGATAGCCCCCCATCGATGACTCCTTTGGGAAGGGGGCTGGTGGGTGCCTCTGTCCAGGATCAGCTCTGTTACGGTTCACTGTTCATCAGTCTCCAAACTGCGTCTTTTCGATTGTAATGCTAAGCGTTTCTTTTCTTTCCTAAACAGTACTTTATGATCGATTCCTGGGTTTTGTTTTAAGCACTTTGAAGAAGCAGGATGGCCTCCCCCCAAAATTTGATCTGGATCTCAAGAGGGCTGATGCTACACTCACAGTAAGAGGGTATATGAGAAGTTGATCACACACGTATGGAGGCTTTTGGGGAGAGCAGGCAGGCTCTCCTTGCTGGCCTGAAATGTCAGGAGAGACATTTGACCTGTCTCCTACCCCCAAAGAGGGAGCACTTGGGCCTTCTCAGCTCTCTCAGGTGTGGATGGAGGGGGAGTGGGTGGGGGAGGCTTAAAAGCTGTCAGGGAACATCAAAAAAGGGGACCATACTTTTTATTATAGGTTTATTTTGGATTTAAGAACAACTGTTCAAAATACAGAGACATTTTGTCACATGAGACAGGGTTTACCTGTCCTTAACTGATAACCAGATTCAAGGGTTTGGAAGTCTGTGGGCAACAAAGCCAGCAACACAGCCCATCTCACTTCCTCACACGCCCCATGTGAACTAAATCACCAGCAGATGACCTCCTGACACTGTGAGCGTGAAGCCTCAGGTCACGACTCTCCGGAAACATAAGAGGTGATTAAAATTGTCTTTAGCATTTATTTCAAAATTATTTCCTTGTTCAAAGTCTCAATGGCCCTATTAGCGAGGAAATTCAATTTCAAATGAGGATCCTTATGCTGCTTATTTCCAGATTTACATCTCCAGTGGGCACCTGTCACCTGAGATCCAGCAGGTGTATCTCCATCTGCGTGGAGAAAGCATCCCAGAGGGAACGTGCTCCCAGTACAGCGCCTGATTTACCCTTACAACTTGACCTTTCTCTTAACTTTCCCATCTTCCCAGTTGGACTATCCAAGATTCTAGAAGTCACTACTCTCACCCTCAAAAGTCATGTGGGTAGAGTTACAAAACAGAACCCAAATCTTAACCTCTCTTTTCGCTCTGCTTCCCCCAAGCCATCTCCGCAGGCTGTTTTCCTGCCTGCGCCCTGCAGGAACCCGAAGCAGCCCCCGTCTCGGTTCCTGTGCCCCTGCTGTGGGTTGAACTGTGTCCCCCCCAAGAGGTATGTTGAAGTCCTGACCCCTGGGAATTTTGAATGTGACCTATTTATTTATTTATAGATTTACTTATTTATTTTAGAGAGACAGAGAGAGAGAGTGCACGTGCGAGTAAGCACATGGGGAGGGGTAAGGGGACAGGGAGAGAGAGTCTTAAGTAGATTCCACTCTGAGCATGGAGCCTGACTCGGGGCTTGATCTCATGATCCTGAAATCGTGACCTGAGCTGAAACTAAGAGTCAGATGCTTAACTGACTGAGCCACCCAGCCATCCCGAATGTGACCTATTTAGAAATAGGGTCTGCAGGTGCAATGAAGTCCATCCTTAGGGTGGGTCCTGATCCAGTCTGACTGGTGTCCTTATCAGAGAAGACACACACACACACACACACACAGGGAAGGAACCATGGGAAGATCGAGGCAGAGTTTGGAGTGATGCAGCCACAAGCCCACGAACACTGGGGACACCAGAAGCGGAAGAGGCAATGAAAGATCTTCCCCTCATAGTATTGAATCACTGTATTGTGCACCTGAAACTAATATAACACTGGATGTTAAGTAACTGGAGTTAAAATAAAAACTAAAAAAAAAAAGAAAAGAAAAGAAACTACATTATCTCTTTACAAAAAGAAAATAAGAAAATTTAGTTGAGTCTTTCAATATTGTATTGAATAGTAGGTAGCTGGAGTTCAGTTCTAGTAACTATCATCAACAGGGAGAGCCCATCATGTCATAATTTACATATATAGAAGCATCTTTCAACTGTAAAGTACTACCTAAAACATTGTTAACAATTAAATGTGTTGCATGGACAAATAAGGATAGTGTGTCATACACAAAGTTATAATCACAACCTTTTGAGCGGAGGTCTGCAGAAGAAAAAAATCTAATTAATAAATTGAGACCTTGCAATAGGAAAAAAAAAAAAGAAGAAGAAGAAAGATCCTCTCCTAGAGGCTTCTGAAGGAGTGTGACCCTGTCAACACCATGATTTGGGGCTTCTGGCTTCCAGAGCTGTGAGGTAATCAGCTTCTGCTGTTTGACGCCCCCCACTTTGTGGTACTTCGCTCCTGCAGCTTTAGGAAGCTAATATAAGCCCTATAATCACCTTTTCACAAAGGATCCAGTGGGATCTTTTGAAACTGAATTCAGATTGTGTCCTTCTTCTGTATCAAAACCTCTACTGATTTTCCTTGGAACTTGGGATAAAATCCAAACTCTACACGAAGTTCCAGGACGCCTGGCACATCTGGCCCCACTATCTCTGACCTCATCTCTTACCCCTTTCTCTGTTCCTTATCTTCAGGACAAGCAGCCTGTTTGCATGTGGGACCTCACTTGCTAACATGGGATCTTTTTATTTGCTTGTCCTCTGTCCCCAAACGAATCAGCTGGAGTCACAAACCTTGCCCCACATATTAACCCTATTTGATTTCCTCCAGAGCGCTTATCCTCATGTGACATTTCTGTACTAGTTCGTTGTTGGTCCCCGCGCCTTCTAGGGGGAGCTCGTGAGACCTCAGCCTTGTCTGTGCAGGGCTGTGTCCTCAGTGTCCAGAACAGGGCCCTCCACTGCAGAGCGGGGCTTCATGGATGTTTGGTGAATGAATGTATAGCACGTGAAAATGTTTAAAGAAGGGTTTTGCTTTTATTAGGGACACCAGTAAATGAAAGAAACTTAATATTTACTGAATTTATTGACATTTTTTAAAGTATGCACGCATAAGTGCAATTCATGCTTTTCCTCAACTAATCTCCCTTGGTTCTTAATCCAGAAAGAGTAGTCAAACCTCACTGGGGAGAGGCCCACAGACATCTCCCAACCCCTACTGTCTAGGCAAACACCTGCTTTGCCATGAAACAAGAGTATCTTAGTCTAAGGGAGGCTCATTGCACCCTTTCCAAGGGCCAGTACTTAACAAAGTTAAGTACTGCTTGATCAAACAATTGTGACCAAGTGTTAACGCAGTACTTCTAGGTGAAGAGTAGGAAGGTAGTCAGTGCATCATTCTGTCATTTCACTCTAGGCTTGAACATTTTTAGAATGAAAAGTTGGAAAAAAATTAGCCAAAAAAATACTGTATGATTTCAAATTGCCTTTAGGAAAATTTTCTGCTGTAAGATTAAAGGACTAACGGCAGGTTTGTGTTAGACAATTGACTGTAGACTATTTGGTTAGTTCAGGAATACAATGCATTTGTGGGCCAATATGTATATTTTATGTGTTTTTAAGGTCAGTCAGAGGTTTTTCCAACAAACCAGGGCAAAATTTGCAGGTCACAATTGTGTCTTTTTCCTGCTGTGGAAAACTTGAGGTGTAGTTTTCATGGGTGAATGGTACTTGTCTCAGAAGGGACCTCAGCCCTCAGAGCCTCTCAGGGAGGACTTGGCTTCTGTGGAGCTTCAGGTGTCTTTCTAGGTCCCCCTGAAACTGTGTCAGGTGACTCCAGACTCAGGAACCAGGAGTCTATCCCACTTTCCTGAAAAGTGATCCTTCTTTCCAAAATATGATAATGCCTTGAGGTCTCATAAATGGTTGTCCCTCTGTGTTAGAAAACTTTTGCCTCCAGAAAGCCAATGTTAAAGGGCAGGTGGGTTAGCTGGAATTCCAGAAACCTCTGGACACACGAACCAAAGAGGTGAGAGTGAGGTCATTGTTCTGCCCACTATTTCTCTGACCCTGGAAGCTACCAGTGAACTTGTTGCAACTTCAGCTCCTTTCAGAGGGTCACCCAGGTGCTTGGAATCTTCAAGGGTGACTTACGTTTGTGCAAGAGTAAATGTCTCAGGCTTCACTGGTCAATGTGGTTGCTGCAGGCAAACCCATTGCCACTGATGGTGGGGATCCCTAGGATCCCTCTTCCCAGGACTTGGTGAGTCACTGCTGGACCACCCAGATCTTCTGGAAATGTTCCTTTCTAGCAGGTTCCTCATTCTCTCTGGGAAAGACTCTAGGCTGACTTGCTCCTGGTTTTGCAGACACATGTGGGCAGGTCTGACTCATGGTGAATGTAGCTTAAGCATAGGTGGGGACCCCTGCTCATAAAGGATTAGCAGGAGCTTTTCAGACTAGTTCAGAAAGTGATTGTAATATAACTTTGGGTGGGGAGTGGACAGAAAATTCTACAAGATGGGGAGATTTCTAGGGAGGGCAGGCCCTTGTGGGATGTTGGCAGGGCTGGCTTCATTGCCCAGAGATTCATGTAGTCACATGGGGCCCAGCCCTCGGAGATCCTTGCTCTGTGGCTGCCATCTTGAAATTCTTCATAATTTTATCTGCATTTATGTTTTGTAAGTGAAGTCCAGTGGGATGATGCAGCATGTGCAGGGGCCTCCCACTGCCTCCCTGGAACACATCTGCAGTTGCCTGCATCCTGCCTCCTGGAGCCTGGATCCTGCCCAGGTCTCTCTCCCTATCCCTGGCCCAAACCCATGCTACCCTCTATCCTGAGGCATTGGTTGGGGAGGTCCAGGTTCTCCTGCTCCCTCCACAGTCAGCCTTTCAGACTGGGCAGGGCAGTGGTCATCCTTCCCTGGGCTGGCCATGCCCAATTTGGGCAGAGCACTCGCCACTTGGTCCAGGTACCCAGTACATTCCTGCATAAAGATTGCAATCCCTTGGGGTCACCCATTCCCTGAGGATTAGAGCCATGAGCCCAAGGAAAGGGGAGGCTCACTTACGCTCTCCACTGGTGCTCTGATTTTCATTTGGCTTTGGGTTCCAGCAAATTCTATAGCTGGCCCTGCATGCTGGGAACCTAGCAGCTAAGCAGAGAGGAGAGAGATAGGGCAGCAGATTAACTCTTCCTACGTATTAATTCCATCACCATTTGGCCCTGGTCTCAGATGATGAAACTTACCTTTAAGAAACTTTGTTGACACTGTCCAGATTTCTTGATTTTATTCACATCATTTTGTCTGTCCTGGAATGTTTTCTACTAGGCTTTCTGATTTTCCAGCTTCTCCTTTTTTTTAGGGCTCATATTGACTCATCTGTCTCATAAGACTTTTGATCCCTCCCTCCAGGCAACATTGCTGACTTTCTGCACTGAACTCAAGGCTGCATCTTTCCCAGCTCTATTTGTGAATTAAACAGATTCCTTCTTTTTAATTTCAATTTTTATTTATTTTTTTCTTTTTTGAACCTCTTTCTTTTATTTTTTATTTAATTATTTTTTAAAATGTAAATTCAATTAATTAACATATAATGAATTAGTTTCAGAGGTAGACTTTAGTGATTCATCAGTCGCATATAACCCCCAGTGTTCATTACATCAGGTGCCCTCCTTAATGCCCATCACCCAGTTACCCCATCCCCACACCCCCGCCCCTCCAGCAACCCTCAGTTTGTTTCCTATGATTAAGAGTCTCCTATAGTTTGTCTCCCTCTCTGATTTCATCTTGTTTTATTTTTTCCCTCCCTTCCCTATGATCCTGTTTTGTTTCTTAAATTCCACATATGAGTGTGATCGTATGATAATTGTCTTTCTCTGATTGACTTATTTCGGTTAGCATAATACCCTCTAGTTCCATCCACATTGTTGAAAATGGCAAGATTTCATTTTTTTGATGGCTGAGTAGTATTCCATTGTATATATATATATACCATATTTTTTTATCCATTCATCTGTTGATAGACATCTTTGGTCTTTTCACAGTTTGGCTATTGGGGACACTGCTGCTATAAACATTGGGGTTCACATACCCCTTCGGATCCCTACATTTGTATCTTTGGGGTAAACACCCAGTAGTGCAATTGCTGGGTTGCAGGGTAGCTCTATTTTCAACTCGCCAAGGAACCTCCACACTGTTTTCCAGAGTGGCTGCTCCAGCTTGCATTCCCAATAACAGTGTAAGAGGTAAACAGATTTCTTATTGCACCTCCAGGGTTCATTGTTTGGCATCATTACTGAAATTTTCATGTGTTTATATTTTGTTTACATTACTGTGTTCTTGGCTCAGTCTCCTAGGTAGAGTAGATGCATGCAAAAATGTTTGTTGATTG